TTCACCATCCCATCATCCATGGGAACCAATCTTGTCCCTTTTCTGAAATGTCCTAAGCATACAAGCAAGACCAACACTTTCCTATGATTAAAACACTGAGGTCAAGGTTAATTTCTTTCACTCCCTTATCTTTCCTATTAATCAGTCCCCAGATTTCTGGGTTCTTCCTCTGTAACAGCTCGTTCTTCTGCCCCATGACCCTTACTTGGCCCTATCATCACTCCCCATCTAGACTGTTACTGCTGCTTCTCAACTTGACCATGACTCCAGCAAAAGTCTTTGACTTCTACTCGCCATCCCATAAATGATTTCAATAGTCTCCTCACTACCTGTCTTTTGGGTGCTTAGATCATGAATAACCTCCATGACCCAGAGTACACTATTCTAGTTCTTAAACTGACTAGGGCACATACAAAGTGACCCCATCTAGCCCTACCAAATTATTCTAACTTGAGAACCTTCTCTCTCAGCTTCATCAAACAGTTCTACTTATTTCCTCACCTTTTCACCCCACCAGATACATGAAGCGGAGGATTGTGTTTGATCTGCTGGAAATTCAGATCCAAGTTACGGCTCAAGCTCTGCTCTTTCCTCAAGGCCCAGCCTAGGCTCTCTCACCCAAGCTTCAGGGCACAGGAACTGCTCAGTGAATAACTGCCTAATATTTCCCAGGAATTCTTTGCATAAACTTTTACTTTTTCCACCTGAATTCTAAATTCCTAGAAAAGAAAAAAAAAATGCATATGTCTTTTAAGATGCCCCATGCTTAATAGGTGACCTTGCAGACTCATCCACTACATAATGAAGATGATAAAAACCAATGAAATGAGTCATTGTTATACACCATAGATCAATGGATCTAAAACTGTCATTGTGCATGTGAATAACTTAGTATGACCTTTAAACATGTGTATTCCTAGACTCCAGCCCAGAGATATGATTGGTTTAGAGTACTGAAGATCAACAATTAATATCCTCCAGGGAATTCTGATGCATTGTCACATTGTACTGCTATGACTTGTTGTGTTCAAAGTACATTGTTGGCACAGATGTATTTAGAAAACCATTGCCACTGATTAATTTGAAACAGTAAATAAAAAATAAAGCAACTACAAAAGTATGCAAAATTATAAACAATGGGGAAAGGAAATCTGGCATGTTGCAAACTACTTGCTTTAATTAGGAAGTTTTTGGTGTTGGTCACTGTAAACCATATGGACTTTCACTGTGTTAATGAAAAATAACTATTCTCATTAAAGTAATTAATGTTGACATTAAGCTAATATACTTTCATATTTAAACTGTAAGTACAGGGATATTTATATACAATAGGATAATTATATTTACTTATTCAAAAATATTTGATCTTCCAGATTATTCACTTGGTTGACACGACTCTAAATCTTTAAGTTTTCTTTGTTGAGTGTAATCTTTAACAAAGGCATTTAAATGTGAGAGATACCCTTCTTGCATTTATTAAATATATAAGAATATATAAGAATATAAGTATTTATACATAAGAATATATAAGAATCTAAGTATTTTTACCTACCAGTCCCAACTACTTTTGTAATAAAGGTTTCATAAGTATGCTTCATGATATGAGCTATTTATTTTTTAAAGTTATAAACTAAGTTTTCTCTTGAAACCAAACTCTGCATGTCTCACCAACCCAAATGAACTCTAGATCACCTTATATAGGAGGGAACTGTATATTGAGGTTTCTTAAAGTATTAAAAATAACTGTATGATTTTAAGACGTTCTCTATTGTCCAGTAAGATTTACCCCTCATACAGGTTGCTGAAGACACCTGTGTAGTCTTGGGACAGAACCATGACATTTCACCTTGATGTTTGAGTCTAGTTTGCCCTTTTTTGGGGGGGGGCATGAATGTGTTTTATATGTAAACATTTACATATAGAGATGTGTGTGTGTGTTTTTGTCACAATTTAAAAGTAGAGGTGACAAACACTGATGTGGTCAGCCTACATTTTTAGTGCCTCAGCTGGATAAAATTGATCCTTTACACTCACATCCCTTCACCATATCCCTTTGGACCCTATCCCCTTTGCAGTTATATTTCTAGGCTTTGTTTTGGTTTAATTTTTTTCAGTTCCTTTGTTTTGTTTCTCTATATTCTACATACAAGTGAAATTATTTTGCTCAGTATAATCCTCTACAGTTTCAATTCTACGTTGTTGCAAATGGCAAAATTTTATCCTTTTTTTCAGCTGAATAGTATTCCATACACACACACACCCATGTATGTATGTATATATACACATACACACACCCATCTTCTTAATCTACTTATCTGTCTTTGTTTCCATAACTAGGCCACTGTAAATTGTGCTGCAATGAACATAGGAGTGCATCAATCCCTTCAAATTAGTGTTTTTGCATCCTGCAGATAAATACCAAAGAGTGGAAATGCTCAATCATACAGTTATTTTTAATACTTTAAGAAACCTCAATATTGTTTTCCATAGGGGCTGGACCAGTCTCCATTCCCACCAGTGGGTGATGGAATGGTGTGGTGATGTACCTCTGAGAAGGCGTAAATCTTTTTAACGCCTGAAACCAATGCCATGTTGTAAACCAGTCAATCCGATCAATAAAATTTCTGATGATCATTTTAAATTATCTTCTCTTTTTTATGAACCCTGGTAGTTGTTTAATCAATTAAACACGTAATATGTTGCTTGCCTTACTTTTCTGAATTAGAATTGCTTGTACAAACATCCTTCAAAGAAACTTTGTAGGGTTTTTCAGTAAAACATACAACTAGGAAAAACTAAAAACACAAACTTAACAAACCTACTAAAGGCTACTATAAATCAAAAAACAAGATTTTATTTACATGTGTCATGTTTTACCTCCAATTTCTGGTTTGACTGGATGGCTAACCTTGGGTCCTAAGTTTGTGAACTATTTCATATTTTTTTAAAATAGAAAAATCTTCTTAAACACAAATTTGTATTGATTGTGAATTATGCATAGTTAGTGTCTTCTGTTTATCTTCTTCTGAAATCTCTTCTCTCTTCCTGTGGTCTATGTAGTTTACAAAAAGTGAACAAACACCTCCTCTCTGGAGCTACATCTAAGCAGGGAGGAGTCTCTGGACCAGTTACCTGGCAAGTATCAAAGCAAGGACTTACTAGGTAGGCTGAAGGCATTAATGACACATGCTCCTCAAACTCACTCAACCACACGGGCGCACTTAGGACAGGAGTAATGTGCTGCCTGCGGTCTATGGAAATAAGACTTAAAGTGATGTTTCCATCTACAGAATAGAATCCATGTTCCATACAGGATATGGACCCATATTCACCATACTGAATACAACAGACAGTTACATAGGAAAAGCAACAAAAATAAAGATTTTCATGACAAAGACAACAACTGATTACATCATCATTTGAAGACAGTTTGGGCATTCAAAAAAACTGATTTTTATCCATCAATTACACACTTATATCACATACACACACCACCTACACACATTCATCCAGGTCTGACCTAGCAGGCAGTGAGTGCCATCAAATTTCTTGGCCTCTGGGGAAAGGTTTCTCATTTTTCTTCCTACTGACACTTTCTTGCTGTCAACCAAAGTAAGTTAGGATAGCAAATGGAGAGGAGTTGCCTTTCTAAGTCATACTTTTCAACAGTTTAACTTTACAGAAACAGAAAGTGAATAGGCATTCACATTACAAGGAACCATTAGGGGGTCCAATGCTACATTTTTGTGGCATTTAAAGACAGGGAAACATTCTCATGCAGGAGTTACACCAATGGAAGCATCTGAGTTGAAAATTATTTTACAATTTACATAATGCATTCCGTTCTGCAAATTAATGTACACAGTGTTTTTACTAAAGTTTTTGTTTCCTTGAGCTCTACTACACACTATCACAAATTCTGATATTTCAACCACTCTCTTCCCCAATTTAAATACAGGCCAGTCGGTGTGACCTTTAAAAATCGATCTTCCCAATCTTAAGGCATATGTCACAATAGAACATGGCAGGCAATTTAATCGCCACGTTAGCAGCTGTTAATAAAGTCAACTAAACGCTGACAGCACACACCACGGGGTCTTCGCCACTTGCCATCAGGTGAAACAGCCACTGCTGCCCAACTCCAGCCGGGGAGGGTGCAGTGTCAGAGCTGAGATTCCCCGGTGTCTCGGATATAAAACTTCTTCAGAGGTCACCAAGGGGGTGTCACCTGCCGTTGCTAGGTCAGGTCTGCACTTGGGAGGTGCGTATATGTGCATGTGCTCCTTTGGAAGGGCAGGTAAGAAGCACACGTGCTAACTCCTTCTCGAAAGCTGGAATACCTCAAGAGTATCTCAGGACCATTTCTTGGCAAAGAGTTAAACATCTCTTATTTTAAATAATAATAATAATAATAATAAAACCACCATTCCACCTTGCTTCTCTGCTCTGCCTTCACCCCCAGATGCAAGAAAGGCAGAGCTGACGAAGCTGGAGAGTCGCGCTTGGGGTGGAACTGGGATCCGGTGGCATCTCCACGCTGACCCCCTTCCAGTGAACCTCAAAGCCGGGTACCGAACTCCTTCGCGCCCTGTCTACACTCGCACCCGCGCCCGGGACTCCGCACGACGTGAGCGCCGCAGGAGTCCCACCCTCTGCGAGGGAAGGAAAAGCGCCCTCACCACCCGGGGCGCCCCGCCGGCTCGAGGGGCAGCGCGGCGGCTCCCGGACTCGGGTGGCCGCGGCCGAGCGCGCGGTGCCGCGGCTTCGGGGCTCTGCACGGCGCCCCTCGTGCCGGGCTCCTCTCGCCGGGGAACTCGCTTCCCCCCTGGGGGACAACTTTCCGCTCCCCAAAGCAGCAAACTTTCCTCGCGGGCGGCGCGCATCCCCCGGGCTCCCCGAGCGCGGGCGCCCCCGCCGCCAGGTCGCCCCGGAGCGCGCGCGCCGCTCGCCGCAGGCGGTGGGGTCCCCGCGCCCCGGCCCCGCGCCCCCCGCGCCCCTACCTTGGCGTCGCCCGCGTCCGGCTCCGCGTCCGAGAAGCCGAGTCCCGACTCGAGGGCGAGGGCGGCGGGGCCCCGGCGCGGCGCGGGCAGCAGCGCGGCGGCCAGCAGGGAGCACGCCAGGGCGCAGAAGCCCAGCGCGCGCATGGTGGCCGGCCCGGGGCGCGAGGCGGCGCGGGCGGGGAGCGGGGGGCGCGCGCCCCGGCGACGCGGCGGTGCCCGGCTCGGCCCGGCCGGGCTGCCCGCGGGCGGGGAGGCGGGTGCGCGCTCGGCCGGCGGCTGTGCTGCCCGCGCCCGGGGCGTCAGGTTCGAGGCTCACGGGAAACCGGACATCCGAGCCCGCGGGCTCCGCCGAGCGAGGGGGGACGGCGCCCCGGCGCGCCCGGCCGGCGGCTGGGGGGGGCGGACGGGGGCGCGGCGCCCACACCCCGCCGCGCTCAGCCCCTCGGCACCGCCGGAGCCCTCGGCCCGCTGCTCCCGGCCCTGCCCCGCGGGAGGACGCGCCGCGCGCCCCGAGCGGCCGGAGAGGCGCTGGCCGGGCAGCCGCGGGCGGGCGGGCGGCGGGCGGCGGGCGGGGCGGCGAGTCCCGGGAGCGGGGCGGCTCGGGCGCCTCCCGTGCGCGCGGGGCTGAGCGGCGGCGGCGGGCGCAGGGGCAGGGCATGACTGACGCGCCCTCTGCCTGCGCTTATGTGAGAGAAAGGGCCGAGCCCGCTTCCCTCCCCTCGCGCGGTTCCCTCGGAAGCGCTCGCCCAGCTCCCCGCCGCCCCGCCGCCTCCCCGCGGCCCCACCTCCCCCCGCCGGCGCGCCCGGCCCCCCTCCCGGCGGGTGGGGGCGCGAGGCCGGCCGGGGGCGGCGAGCGGCCCCACCCGCTGCAGAGGGCGCCGTGCCGGCCGCGCCGGGCGGGAGAGGGCAGGGGATGGGGCGCGGGGGACCGACCCTTTGTCCTCGGCCGCTCCTGGGGTCCTGCCCCCCTCTCCGGGCACGCTGCGCCCGCGGCGCCCTGCTCGAGGTTTGCAAAGGGCCCCGGAGTTTTAGAAGTTCCCAGAGAAAGTCTTCACAATGGCGGAGACCAGGGAGGGACCTGGGGACCAGCAGTGGCCCCCCCAACACACACACACACACACACACACACACACACACACACGGGAATGCAAAGTTGCCCGGCGAAGCCACGAGCACAGTTCTCAGAGGACAGCCAGCTCTGTTGGGGACGATGCTGATGACCCCTTTGGGTGTCTAGAGTCTCGCCCCTGGGGAAGGAAGGGCCACCACCTTCGTGGACAGCACAAGACAGGGACTGAGTTCTTGCAAGGAGCTGGGTCTGTGCGCAAGGGATGCTGAAGAGACACATGTGCTAAGCAGATTGTGGGAAGTGACATCTGCAGGAAAGTGACTGCGTTTCCCATTGCAGGATCTCTGGGGGCTGCGTGCTGGCTAGTCCTCTGGGCCTGTCATCCCCCTGGGAGCAGAGCCAGCAGGTTGGGGGCCACCACCTCGGGTTTCAGCAGCTGCCAGAGCATGCATGAAGTGGCTCACTTTTACTCCCGAGCTACATTCAAATACACTCATCTTATGGGTTCAGAACATCTTCTATGGGGAAGAAACTGTCTTATGTAATTCAAGATCTGAAACGCGCTTCAACCATCACTTACTTGAAAGCTTCAGTAGCTCCCAGGACAAGGAAGCCTCCCCTCTGTGCGACCACCCTAGGCCCAGCTGTGATGGCCCAGCTGCTGGAGTGTGACCCTCCAGCCGTCCCTTGCTTTTGACTTCGGGTCTTTACCCAATAGATCTAATCTAGCTCCCACAGTGAGTTCTTCAGATATGCCATGTTCTTCTGCAGATACTTTTTCTGCCAGTTGATTATCCGCCCCCACACACACCCCTTTTTGGGTATGACATCTCCAAGATCTCTCATCAACCATGATCTAAGTTTTCCATGTTCTTTATATAATGTACTGCCAGAATGTCACTTGTTACTTACAGCGTTCCCACCAGCTCGCAGGCAGGGTCTTCCTTGTCCAGATATTATGCATTTCTTCCTACCACTGGAAGAGCTGGTTTACTTTCTGGCAACCAAATCAGTGTAGACTCAGGAGGGTGCTGCTGTTTGGTCACATCTTCATGACCCTGCATTGTTAAGTTGCTTTACTGTGCCCATGGTTTGAGCTTTGTTAGGTACTTTTATTAAGTTCTAGCCTCTCTGTCAGTCCATCATCACAGCTTGTTGAAATGTTTTGGGATGCTGATGCTGCCCGCACATTATTCTTTTCCCTGCCTTCTGCTCTGTGCACATTGGGTCCATTTGCCATATTTGGCTTCAGATAAGGATGAAGCTGCCAAAAGGGAAAAGTGAAGAACAGCCAGGGTAGGATTGAAGTAGAAACTGGAGTTGCCTTTTAGCTATTTCCTATTACAGAGATTCTCAACTTTGCATTTGGAGACACAGCAGATTTCAAAATCACAGATGCTCGAGGGTTCCATCAGGGATCTGGCTTAAATGGTCAAGAGTAAGACTTAGGGGCCTCCCTGGTGGTGCAAGGGGTTAAGACACAACCTATGACGCTGTTTGCAGCCACTGCAACACGAGTTTGATGCCCCGCCTGTCAGGGAGCTACCCACACAGTGCAGCAGACCTCTCCTGGCTCGCCCGCTGCTCCCCTCAGCAGTGTATTTCAATCTGCCTGTTATGTTCCCTACTTTGTCTCTGGTGGGTCCTCTCACCCCCCCCCACCCTGATCTCTAGCCTGCACCCCAGCTCTTGTATGCATAAATAAATAAATCTTAAAAAAAAAAAAAGAGTAAGACTTAGGCATCAGGATCTTAACAGGCAACCAAGTTGAGGACATTGGCCATAGCCAGTGTCCCGGGGCCTCCATAGTGTGACGATTGCAATATCAACAGAATCAAAATCTATTAAAAATGTATCAGATTGACTATTATTTATTTTATTTGAATTACAGCCATAAGCAAGTATAGTGTTTCTTCAGCTTGAAAATGTTACCTTCTTACCATTTTCAGTAAAGGAAATACTGGCCAAAGATATACTTGAGTGAAAAAAACTGAACAGCCTTAGAGATTAACCTGCATTGTTAAAAACATCTTCTTTTCCTGATTTTTGAGTGTATCATTAGTTTTATACAGATTCTGTTGTACAGTGGGATTTCTAAAACTTGTTTTCAAAAAAGCAAATGAAAATTATGAAAGACTTTGTCACTTCGACATCTGCACAAAATACAACTTTCAAGCTTTTATCCTTCTATTTCGCATCTTCCTTCCTGGGTCTTCTGTTGTCTCAGCCCCAAAACTCTTTCTGACTAGTTCTTCTTCCTTCAGGATAGTCAGAGACTCAAAAGCTGAACTGGCTCTTAAAGTTAACCAGAGCTGAACAGGCTCCTTCTCTGGGAATTTAAACCCTGGTCAAGGCTTAAGCTGAGAGTCATTTCCACAGACTGTCTAAAGCCTATGCAGGTTAAGTAGAAATTTCCAAGGTATTTACGGTTGTGATAGGAACATGTAAATCAGGCTCCTCAGATCTATAGCAATGATTTCTGTTTTATTAGGAACCTCATATGCAATAAAATTGAGTATAAAAAAGCACTTTGGGACATCCCTAGTGACCCAAGGGTTAAAAACAGCACTATCAAGTTATCGCCAGCCACTGCAGCATGAGTTGGATCCCCCGCCAGGGAGCTGATCCACATGGCAGAGCAGACCTCTCCTGTCTCGCCTGCTGCTCCCCTCAGCAGTGTACTTCAGTCAATCTGCCTGTTCTGCTCCCCACTCTGTCTCTGGTGAATCCTCTCACTCCCCGGCACCTCTGGTCTACACCCCAGTTCTTGCATGCATAAATAAATCTTTAAAAAAAATAAAATGAAAAGCACCATGAATACCCTGTGTATGACTTAGTAAATTCCATAGTAAAATCAGAATTTAGGAAAACAAAATTGAGACAACATCTTTGGAATGTCATCTGTACACATAAGCACTCAGACCAAGCACTTGGGGGAATGCAGGGACAGGCTCTCTCATACTTTAGGAAACTCAGACATCGATCTGGGATCATATGTGGCCACAGTCCTGTCGTCACCTTCTCTGAATGGCCTTACACATGACGTAGGGAACCTGATAGCCAAAAAAAAAAAACCTGGAAGGAAAAAAATCATCCAATTTCCAGACTCTCGAACCCTGATGGAAACTAAGAAGAGACAAGAGAAAGCAGGAATTCAATAGAACTGTTCCAAGTCACTCTCAAACATCCATTAATTTCCCATTTCCTTAAACTCCAAAGGAGAATCTTTAAATATTGAAAGAGGATCTTGAAATCTTTGTTTGTCATGGATCCTTTAATATCAATCCCAAACCCTGCCACATAGCCTGCTCCTGAGAATTAAGTTACTCAAGCGGTGGCCCCTCCAAAATCTACAGACTCCCCTGGTTCCAGCTGATAACGTTCATCTTCAGACACTTACAGTGGGATATCATGGGATGTAACACTTGTTTTGGAGGTGGAAATGTGACAAGAAGGCACATAAGGGGGATCTTTAGCCCCTTCAGAACGATTCATGTCACTAGAAAACTTTAGTTGGAAACTAGCAAATTACTTGCCCCAAGGAGGTCAAATTGATCACTGTACTTTCTCAAGGGGAGAAAAGCGTATTAAGGTTGCTGAGGTCATCTCTGTTGCATGTGCCATCTGCATCTGGCACAAAGGTAAAGCCCATGCCCCTGTCCCAGGGCCCTGTGGACGCTCACACGTGGGCTCACGCCATGCCACTTTGCTATGGATTTTGAATGTTCCATTCAGTATTTGCTAGTTTTCAAGGGGGAGCAAAACTTTCATCTGCCGGAAGGGTGTGGTTCTCAAATTAGCAAAAAAGGTTACTTAATTCACTCTAGTGATAAAGAGCTTCATGGCGCTAGAATCGTTACTAGGAAACTGCACAAAGCTTTGCTGTTTACTCAGAAATGTCACTGTCTCTGTCAGCCTCAAGTCTTAGGAAGAATAGAGACAGACAATAGTACTTGATTTTTTTTTAAAGATTTATGTATTTATGCATACAAGAACTGGGGTACAGGCCAGAGGTGCAGGGCGTGAGAGGATTCACAGAGACAGAGTGGCGAGCAGAGCAGGCAGACTTACTGAA